TCCATCCATCCATCCATCCATCCATCCATCCATCCATCCATCCATCCATGCATGCTAACTCTTGCTAACCTATATTCCTAGACTCAACCCAGAAAAAGTTCCTAATGCCAAGAGAATAAGCACCAACGCTGTGAGTAACTGTAGTAGTTAGTCTTATATCCTGTACGCAAACAATAATCAGTGTACATTGGACTAGAAAGTGAGATAAACCATGTGCRGCTTGACTGTTATGTATTTATGCACATATCTTTTGAACAATGTTAGACAATGAAATAGTATTACTCGAATTATAATTTGTTCTAAGTTTATATGTCATTAGTATAATTATAATATTTTTTGAGTTGAATATAAAGTTTAACGCATTGTGATTGGTTGAGTGACCAGTGATTCTGAGACGATTATCACTGCTTGAGCTGTGATTATAAGGTTTCCCAAAACTTTTTTTATCCTGAATTTTATCTCTGAAATTTTATCTTTTCTCTGAAATTCAAGTCTAAAATTATACTAAAACAATTATTCACTGCATGCTTATTAATTATTGTGAATATTTACCCCTCTGTTTGAAGACTGGTGGCTGGGTAAACATTCACAGATATTCACTTTGTCTTTGTCTAATGATCGTTAAATAGATAGAGGATATTTCATGGGCGCGCAGAGATACGAATTTCATCTTCGAGTGTTCAATGGATATCTCACGAGTGAGCGCAAAAACTTAAATAAAACAAAAGCATCAAAAATTCTTTATAAAAATACGTTACTATGTCAACAGCGATATCTTCACGTGTGAAAGATATGGTATCTTCCACTAGTGAAAGATATCAAGTTTTCGACACTAGAGAAAACCTGGTCTTTCATCGATATCCATATAATAATGTCTAATATTATATTAATAATTATAATTACCATATTCCTATCTTCTTTCAATAGGCTGATTGGTTTTATGCAAAATTTGGAGGATTTCCTAGGCTGCAAAGGTAACACTTTTTTTCATAACTTGGTATACAGTACTTACTTATCAACAATATATCTCCATCCATCTGCCTTTTGATTAAACTAATCAGCATAAGATGAGCTTGGAGTTAGGTACCCATGACTAGGAGGTAACCATGGTAACCCTACCATGGTCCACCCCCTGACACCTATCACACTGACTCAGACACAGTGGCAAGACCATGCTTTTGTTTTATTGACAAGAACTTTTACTCACTTGGTTTCAATTTCTCGGTACTTTGTATTTATGGATTTAAAAAAAAAATTTTTTTAAACTGTTTTGACCATACCTACTGAGTTTCTGTTTGCTGCAAGGGAGGGGGGTGGGTGCACATTTTTGACGCAACAAAGACAATGTACGCTACAATGCAAAGATCATCCCTAATTAAATAAATAGATAAATGAATGAATGAATAAAAATATAAATGAATGGGATTTAACATTGGCATTTCTCTAAGTACTGTAGCTCTTTGTCCAATGAATTCCAATTCCAATTATAGATTTTTTAGTGATACTGCGGCCATCTTGAAGTATAGGATGTCCAAGGGGAAAACATGTAGAAAATGTGTAAAGGAAATAGTGGCAGGGTTTTGTTTTTAAATATTTTGAAGTCTTGGTGTTTCAAATATTTTTCCAACTACCAAAACTTCAATTGGTTTCATAAATAAATAATAATGAAAAAATATATATATAGGATTTAGCAGTGGCTAAACAGAGTGGCTCTTCATCCACTGTAATTCCAATTAGAATTTAGAAGTTGATTTTTACATGTGCTTCTCATTGAAAAGCTTAAATGTATATTAAAAAATACCCTGACAGCTGTGCAGTCATTTTTTCCAATATTTGTCCCCTCGGCATCCTATGTCCAATTTAAAAACAATAGCATTCAAGATGGCCGTCATAACAGTAAAAGGGTCTATCTAAAGGGTCTATTTAGAACATTTTCTTTCAATTGCTTTGGTAATTTAATTTAATGCTGGCAAGGATTTGATGACCAGTCTTAAGAGACTAAAGGGCTGATAAACATGTGAATTGTAAGTCAATGTGAGGTCCAACCTAAGAGGAGTGCGGTTGGATGTAAACACATTGGCTCGAAATAATTTTTTTTAGCCTTTCATAGATAAAGGAGCATGGTAAAAGGAGGTCATCCCAGTATATTTTGCCTGCCATTTTACAACCCATTATTGGCAGTGCATGTTTTTTTTTCGCTTGCCAAACCTGAAATTTGGCTTATCATTTGGCCATTGGCAAGCTGCTATTTACTATTTCGAGCCCTGAAACAAAATTTCTCATGAAACATTATATAAATTAGCCTTTGATGTATCGTTATTTTCCAGAGATTCTCTGTGCTTTGACTGTGTCAAGTCAGTCTGCAGTCAAATCAGATTCAAGTTCAGACTAGCAGAGGACGACAAGGCAATCAAGGCCATCTTGAAGACCAAGGTTGTTCCACAGAGGTAAGTCACACTTTGGCCTTTCACATTATTGTGACTGGCTTATACAGGATATCTACAGTGTATCATAACTGGCATATCTAGAATGGTAGAGGGTTACTTAGTACTAACCTAAATGCCATTGAGAAGAGATGTATTCCAAGCACTCTAGGATCCTCCTCCCCCCCCCCCCCCACCCCTGTTGCACATGCATATTGTAAGCTCACATTGAACGCTCAAAAGTAGGCAGTCACGTCTAATAAATTTTAACTTTTAAACTACAAAACGTTTTTCTTTCCTTAGAGTTGGCAATTGGTTTTGGATAGGCAAATCCTCTCTTTTCAGTTGGAAAAAGCTGGCCACTTTAGCCGACAATGCTAAAAACACAGGCAGGAACCCCTTAGATGAATCAGGAATGATTAACAATGCACCAATACAACAGGCAACTGAGCGTGATACTTGTATAAGCACAAATGGATCTCCTGTTAACACCAGCAGGAAGCGAAAAAATAAGTCCAACACTTGTGAGGAAGATGATTCGTTATCCAAAGAAGATGGGCTGAAAGACTTGAGTGCTGTCAAGACGATGAATATGGATACTGACTCCTGCACTGGTACTAATAACAGAGGAGTTGGGTCGTGCCAGATGGACGAGTCTACCAGCATGGAGGATGGCAGTAGGATGAATGAATCGAGTGAAGAGGAAGAAGAGGATTTGATGAAGTTTAATGAAGATCTAATGTGTGAACATGGTAAGTGAGGTCCACTCAGTGCAAATAAAGACTAACGGGGTTCGTGCTACTCCTTAAACTTCTTGAAAACTCCTTGAATTTAATTCACGTTTTCAAGGGCACTTGAAAAGCTCTTGAATTTTACGATTTTAGCGAAACTCCTTGGAAACTCCTTGAAATTTTGCTTTGAACATTACTTGCATGGTTCTGAAATGGATCTAGTCAGAAAGACTGGAAAATCTGAAAGTCGGCCATATGCAACCACCGTGTAAAACCTTGACATAGTTAGCTGAACATACTCCTTGCAAAATTCATTTTTGGGTACTTGTATACTCCTTGGATAATTCTTGAATTTTAGTGGTTACCTCAGCTTGAACCATGATCATAGAAAGGACGCCATATTACTCACGTCGTAAATCTTTTTGCGATATTTTATCATTTATTTATTTWTTTTTTCCTTTCTCTTCCTTTCAGGTAATCTCTCAGCAAATGCTACATGTCGGAAACTCATCCAAGAATCTATTTGGCAAAGATTGCTGTACTATTTTGACTCGGCGCGTGAGTTCCCTGAAGACCATCCTATCTGTCAACAATGTCAGGTATAACAACCTTCAAATTTGATCGATGCCCTGAAACAACCTCTGGGCTGATCTAAGTCAGGGCATGACTAACTCACAGATAGAACCCTAAAACAACCTCTGGGCTGATCTAAGTCAGGGCATGGCTAACTCAAAAAGGGAGAAAAACCAGATCAAGGGAGAGTCCTAACAAATTCTACCCCAGAGATTGAGGCTAATATATTATCCCTACAGTATCCTTGCGGGAATTATCTCGCCTCTGTTCAGCACCGTTCTTATTCATATCCTCCTTGTAAAACTAACGTAAGTGTAAGAAAAACGTTTGCGCATGCGTGCACTTCAGAACGTTTTCTAAGAATTTTGAAGAGTTTGAGTGAGAAAATAAATGTTTGTTTTCTCCAAGTATACAAAAAAGTTCGAGAGTATACTTTTGTCAGACCAAGATACTGTATTAACAAACACAATACGAAAGAATTAGCCTTAAGTTTCAAGCATGGACACTAAGTTTTGGCATTTTGTGAAGTCCAATTTATCGTGCATGTTTGAAAGTCTAATTTACATATGTTTTGACTAATTTGCATACGGATTCAGAGCATGCAAAGACGTTTTTCACTCGTTTCAATGAAGTACTTTGATCTATACTTAGTCTTACTTCATACGTACATATTTCTCTTTTACTCCGACGAAGGACTAGCGTCTGAAACGTCAGTAAGTTTTTTGATCTTTTCACGGTGTATAATTTACCATTTTATTATTACTGTTTCATTAGCAGCTCACACTAGTTTTTAGCTAGTTATCTCTTCATACGTACATATTTCTCTTTTACTCCGACGAAGGACTAGCGTCTGAAACGTCAGTAACTTTTTTCATCTTTTCACGGTGTATAATTTACCATTTTATCATTACTGTTTCATTAGCAGCTCACACTAGTTTTTAGCTAGTTATCTCTTCATACGTACATACTTTTGAATACTACATTCCACATTTTACAGGTAGAAAGCGAAGACGAGCGTAAAATCCAAGAATTGAACAAAGCTCGAGCCACCGAAGAAAGGGTAGCTCTCAGTAACTTGTATTATAACAAGCACAGGCCTGATCTTCATAACAATGACGAGGTAAGCCACACCATCAAATTAGATGTGAAACTTCTCTTCCTGAACTTAAAAAAAACTTGTCATCGCTAATCACCAGCGCAGAGGACAGCCTGGTTTTCCACACTATTTACACAACATAAGCATAAACACAGGCGCGAATATAATGAAATAATTWAAAAAAAAWAAATTAATCACTATTATTTAAGTGACTAGTCGTTCTAGCGCTTTCGCACTAATTGGGGACACTTTTCGCTCACACGCACTACCACTACATTCAATATTCTATGCACACAACGCTCAACTCAATCGTTGATTTTTACGGAGGGAGGAAACCGGAGAACCCGGAGAAAACCCTCGTAGCATAGGAGAGAACCACACTTCAAACAAACTCAATTCATATGTGGCGACCGCAGAGCTCGAACCAACGACCCGACCCGTTGGACTCACAGCGGTGAAAGACGAATCGTTAGCCGCGAACGCCACCCATGCTACCCTAATACTCCATACAAACACTGCGAAACGCAAGCTCAAGCACAAGGATGAAAAAAGTTTGATCATGATCAAACTATGACCTCCTGCATGAGCTCAAGTCCAATGCTCAACGAACTCAGCTTAGCGGATAACGCTAAGCGTTTCCTAGAAAAACTGACAAGTGTGACCTTTAAATATAGTTGCTATGTTTCACTTTTTTTACAATTTGTTTGCATTATTTTACAGGAGCACAGTAAATTATGTGTGTACGCTGTTAGTAACTCATTTCTAGACCGATGGCGGTCGTTCCTACGGTACGCTATTCAACCTGCATGACTCCTAGAAGATGTATGAATTCGTGTGTAATTTTTCCCTTTACTCATTTTCATTATCCCCTTCTCCCTCCCTTTCTTTCTTCCTTCCTTTCTTCCTTTCTTCCTTTCTTCCTTTCTTCCTTCCTTCTTTCCTTGCTTGATTGCTTGCTTGCTTGATTGCTTGCTTGATTGCTTGCTTGCTTGCTTGCTTCCACCTTGCTTCCTTGCTTCCTTCCTTGCTTGCTTGCTTGCTTGCTTGCTTGCTTGCTTGCTTGCTTGCTTGCTTGCTTGCTTGCTTGCTTGCTTGCTTGCTTGCTTGCTTGCTTGC